AAACAATCATGGGACAAAATTGGGGCAGTTCTGTTGGGACACAATTCTGCTTTGTGTCAGTGGAGGATCAAGTGGGTAATTTTGTATTTCTGTCACCTTCTTTAAAAGAAAGCAAATACCTATCTCCCTTGTTAAAAATTATGAGAAAACAAAAAATAATATCAGTGCTCTGAGAGCAGTGGCTGCCGAGGCCCTCTTCTGTGTGTCTTGTCTGCACTTCTCCAGACACATTTCTCTTATTTCCCCCCCGAAGATCTGAGGGACTGAGCCCCCAGCCCCTCTCTGCTGACACTGGACACCCCTCGGTGCCCCATCACTGCACGGAGCCTGCGAGGGGCCGAGTGAGCAGGACCTCCCCTGCAGTGGTGAGCAGCTTCCTCTGGCCTGTGTCCAGGGAACCCTGTGCTAAATCCCAGGTTTCTACAGTGGGCAGACTGTAACATTCCCTCTTGCCTCAGCACCTCTCCCTTGAATCAGGCACAGTCACTGATCACAGGAGGCTTCTGGCACAGCTTGCCTTTGCAGACTGGCTTTTGCAAGGCAAAGCAGACCATGCAGATGAAGTTGTAGGAACACGGGTCCACTCTGTTATGTTTTCAGCTTTATTACCACAAGCTGCCAAACTCATCCCAGGAGCTGGATATTCTGACATTAGGGGATGGTCCCTGTTGCAGGCATCCCCTGAGGATGGAGGAGGCTTCCTCTGTGGTCAGGAAGAGGAGACTTTTCCTCTCTCAGACCTTGCATGTGACTGTGTAGGACCGTGTGTGCCAGCTTCCATTTCAGCTGCTTTTGGCTGTCCCTTGTGCTTCAGGGTTTGGCAGGTGCTTCTATTTTGTTCCCCTTCCAGCTGCTTGTTGGAGATACGGGAGCAAAAGTCAGAGGGTATGTAGGGGGTTTGTACCCTCCTGGAACAACCTGCTACACACTTGCCTTGTGCTGTGCGTGAGACCGTGTGCTCTGGAGCGAGCGCTGGGCTGTGGAGCACAATTCCTGCATCCTGGTGGGGGGCACAGTTTGGCCTTGGTGTGGTGTGGCTGCTCCTGTGTCCTGAGGCCTGTGAGCTGTGATCCAGACACAGCACAACAGCACATGATGGCTACATTCATGTTGTCGTTCTTCAGGCACTTGCCGGTGCTGGTGGTCCCTCAGGCTGGGCTCTAAGAACCAGCACAGCAGGATGTGCTATGGAGGAGGGAAGAAGTTGGAAGTGAGAACTGAAAGGTTTAAAAAATATAACTTAATCTCTTACAGAGACCGAGTGTTTATGAGCCAGCACTCTGGGAATGAAGTGCACACACCAAAGCTGGTGTGTGAGTAGTGGTCAAATAACAAATAAAATCTACACCAGAATGGGGTTTTGGCTTGTTTGATTTTTGAATGTTGTGCAATGACACATTAATTTGTCTTTAAAATCCCTGTATTTTGGTGCCTCAGCAAAACTCGATGGGTTAGAACCCAGTGCCCTGGCATCCCCAGGCAGGCTCCAGCGCAGACGTGTTGTTGGCTGCTCCCAGGCTGGAGCAGGTCAGGACGAGCTGACACACGAAACGGGGGGAGTTTGTCGTAAAAACGGCGCGGGAGAAACGCGAAGCTCTGATGTAAAGAAAAGCTGAAGGTAACCTGTAACTTCACTATTGTTCACATTATTTAAAGGCTGGATGTCCCTTGTTGTGTTCTGGTGATTAGAGAGCAACTCTCAGATTTCATAAGAACCTGAACAACGTTATTACAACAATTACTGTGTTGCTTCATTCTAAAACTCCTTCACTGCCATATTTAGCAATACAAACTGCAGGGTTATGTTAAAGCAGATTCACCACCTGGGTAATGCACAGGACAGGCTGTTTCTGTTTTTTAAGCAGAAAAGTGGCAGCAGGGCCAGAGCTTGCGACACGGGGAGGATTCTCCAGCATTACACGTGCAGATGTGAAGGTGCTTTTGTCAGGGGAAGTGTCCTGGAAGAGCTGATACTTCTCCTTTCCTGTAGTGGATTACTGCAGTCACTGTGTGATGACTGTCACTAACAGGGAAGGAAGGAGGAAAGGAGCTAATTCAGAACTGACTTTAAAAGCTCAGTCCTTTTTCTCTCGCTCCTCAAGTTCCTCACAGCCTGAAGTTCCCAGCCTTGGCTGTCTGATTCCAGCTGTAGGCTCAAGCCTGTCCCGGTGCCTTCGGTCCTCCCGTGCTGGCTCTGTGCATGTGCTTTCAGATGGGTCATGCCTTGACTGCTCAGCTTGGCTTCCCAGCTCTGATTCAGGATGCAAATTGTTTGTTTGCATTTCTAATTAAAGCACTGCTGTGTGCTATGAGAGCTTTCTCAGTACTCAGGTTGTAGGCTGGGGGGATATGTATTGCTGTGCTGAGGGTCAGGACACGGATGAAGAGCTGAGTTTGTCTTTGGGCACTCAGGAATTACTGTGCTGTCCCATCGAGGAGAGGCGGGCTGAGGCCTCGATGGTGTGTGTGTTAGGCAAGGGTATAAAATACTTCCCTTATGTGAAACACAAGTAAAGTGCAAAATACAAAGAAATTTATGTAAGCCCTTGTGTACCCAAATAAGTGATTTCCTACCAAACTTGACTTCTGAGTGCCCTGTAGCTTTCCTTTCAGCACCTGAATGACCTGTAGAGGTGTTAAGGATAAGTGTCAGTAGTTTCTGTGTGAATCCTGGCCCATGGGAGCCTGGGACAAGGGTCATCTCTCCGAACAGGTTGAAGGCCTGGTGCCAGTTTCCAGTTTCTAGGTTGTCTGGAGTGAGGGCAAGCCATGCAAGGGAACATTTGGCTGTGGGAAGGGCGAGCCCTGCTGCTGCCTCCTGGTGTGATGGGCTGGAGTGAGCACAGGTACGGTGGGAATGGTGTGTTTGCTGTCCTGTACAGCTGCTGTATCACTGAACACAAGGGTTTCTCTTGGGTCAGCTCCAGCCTCTTCTAGTTGGGTTGGGAGAAAAATCAGATTTGGAGAAATGGTGACTGTTGTATTGAGTACACTGGTAAACTTTGCTGAATTCTATAAATCTCTTGGCTGCACTGAAGGAATCTGGGGAGCCCAATGAAGCAGTTCTGTGGCATGCTGCTGTACTCCCTCCCTGTGCTCTGGGGCTCCTGGTTCCAAGGGAGGTCTGTTCTCTAAACATGTCTCCCTTTGGATCAGGTGTAAAACATAAAAACATAAAACTGAGTATTTCTTTGAGCCTTAAAAAGCAGAGACCTAAACTGTGAGGCATTTTAACTGTTGTGATTTTTACTCCATCTGGAGGCAGGGATCTAAAAATTTGCAGAAAAACATGCAAAATCCCAAGTCTTAGAATTCAGGGCCTTTTCCCCCCCTAAGTAGATCAACAGGTGTCCTGTCCTTGCAGTCACCTTCTATTCTCTGCTACAGTTTGGTAACTTTGGCTCCCTTTTACCTACCTAAGAAACAGCAGCTGAAAAACAGATGATTAAGACTCCTCAGAAACCTTTGGCACACCCCTTATTTACGGAGCAACTCAGCCCATTTTGAGGTCACACCCACCCCGCTCACAGGCTCTCAGCACAGAGCTGGGGGAGCTGCCAGTGTGTGTGTGCACGGCATTAGATGGGCATCAATCACAAGCAGTAGAAATCAGAAAATAAAAGAAATTTCCACACTGGAATAAGTTTTCTTACTTCACCATTTTCTTCTTTTCTCCCTGCCACACTGCTCGGTTTTCCACTGTAAATGCAGAGCTGGATGTCAGTGCTGGGAGTGCTGGGGACCTGTGTGTTGCCTGTGCCAGTGGGATTCAGGGGGAAGAAGGAGGACTGAGCTGCAGAGGTTTGTCCTGGCTTCTCCCCTCACACATCCAAGGTTCAGGAGCACAGATGTCAGTGGGCACCTGCCTGGTGGAAGGTCACATCTGTTTTACAGACCCCTTCTCCCGGTGTTTAGCCCCTCTGTTCATTTCCACACTGTGTCGATAGGCCGAGAGGAACATCTCCGGCCTCCTGTATATTCCTTTAAGCAGTTGCTAAAGTGATGACTATTTCAGCAGCTAAGAATTCAATGTATTTACTTTTCCTAAAGGAGCAAAGTTAGTTCTGTTAACACTGTATGTGTGTGGGGAGAGAGGAATTAATTCCTGAATAGCATTTAATCCCAAGAGCAAGACAATGGCTGAGATAACACTGATTTATGGGGAAATTCATAACCAACTGGAAGCTGACTGGGGATTAGTTCAGTTTCCAGCTATAAAAGGGTGTTACAGCTGTGGATGGTATGTAACACGCCTGGTAGAGGAGATGTAGTGGGTAGAAGTTGCTAAATAAGACATACATCTCCCTGTGTGGCAGAGGCTGGGGAACCCCAAAGGCAGATGTAATTAATGCACAGTAATCTAAAACAGCTTTGAAAAAAGCAGGCTGTATGGAGCAACCTGCTGGATTGGATTAGGCTGCTGTAAATAATGAATTTCTAAAAATAGCAGTGAAGTGGTGATCAAAGTGTCTGGCACGTGTGAGAGAGCACAAAGCTGTCAGGAGAGCTGGAGGAGAAGGGGTGATTGGGGATAAGTGACATGGCTGCTCTGCTTTGGAGAGTTGGAACCAGTAAGTGGTTGGTGTATATTTCATGTCTTAAAATAGTGCCATAAGTTCCAGGATTTTGGGTTAGAAAGTAGTTTCTCTCCAGTCACAGCCTGTGTGGGATAGCCAAGGAGGAGCTCTGTGAGTGGTGCAGTGAGCCGGGTGGAGAGGGTCAGGCAGTGTTCCTTGCTCCCTTCTCTTGCTCTGTTGTTGGGACTGGGAAGGGTAAATGTGCCACCAAGGGGGACATCTCTGAGTGTTCCCCTCTGGTGAGTGGTAGGGTGGGGGTGAGCACCAGCAGCTCTGGGGTGCCCTTTGTGGGGATGCAGTCCTGGGTGCTCTACTGGCCTGGATGAGGAGTGTGCCCTGGGTGTTGCCAACACTGTCCTCCACCACAGTGCTGCTGGGAGCAGAGGGAAGAGCTTTTTGCCCACTGAGGCTGACCAGTGAGTGTACATAGAAAACCCATTTTGCTGTTTTTATTAAGTATTAATATTACAGTGCAGCCACCCTTTTGTTTTCTCCAGCAGAGGTAAACCAAAACTATTTTCCAAGTTCTCTATGAGCACGCAGAGTAGAGTGTGCAGCTTCAGAATCAAGACTCGGTAGGAGACACTTGTGTGTCCAGTTCAGTTTTTGGGTTTCTATAAAATGCTCTCCGACGGGTCTTTACTCTCCTGCATAACACCTTCTCCACGAAGGGCTTGCACAGGACCATGTAGATCAGGGGGTCCATGCAGACGTTGGTGGCCGCCAGCCACAGTGTGCTCTCTTTGGCCACGAAGAGCTGCTTCTGCAGGGCACAGTCCACGTGGGCAGTTGTTTGGCTCAGAGTGTAGGGGACCCTGCTGAAGTGGAAGGGGGCAAAGCACAAGAAGAACACGGTAAAAATGATGAATACTTTCCCCTTGATCCGTTTTTCCCTTTTGTTGTCTTTCTTCTGCGTTTTTATGTATGACTCATATACCTTTTTGGTGATAATTATATAAAATAGCAACATGAGGATGAGGACAGTCCAGAAGATGAACTGACAGATATAGCTGACGGCTTCATGCCACTTGAGTCCGAGGTAGCTCTTCAAGGAGGCACACTTCCTCACGGACTGGGGCGTCGCTGTCTTGTTGGATAAGATTGTGTTGGGCAGAGAGAGAACAAGGAAGAAGAGCCAGACCAGACCTGTGAGGATCTTTGCTGAGGTCGGGTTTTGCACCCAGAACTTCCCAAAAGGTCTCACAATCTTGAGAAATCTGTCAAAAGCAATGAGCCCGAGTAGCACTATGCTAATGTACATGGTGTCATAGAACACGACGGCTGAGAAGCGACAGACAAAGGCTTTGAGCTGCCACGGTCCCAGGCCAGAGTCTGTCAGGATCTTCAGAGGAAGCATCAGGGTCATTATAAGATCTGAAACTAAGATATTTTTCAAGTAGACGATGAAGGTTGATGTGCTTGGAATGTGGCAGAAAGCCCAGCAAGCCAGGCTGTTCAGTGTGAGTCCCAGGAGGAAGACGAGCGTGTACAGCGCTGGGAAGAGCAGGCGGGTGACGCTGGTGTCGCGCTGGCACGGGGGGGAGGAGGGAGCTCCGCTGGTGTAACCCACAGTGCTCGTGTTGGCAGGGTCTCCCATCGCTGGAAATAGACTTGATGAAAAGGAGAGAGAAAGCACAAAACATAACTTTCTGCGTTTAATGTTACGTGCTCCTTACGGGGATGGCAGGTTTGCACGAACAAACAAAAAACCCGAGCGTGCGTTACACAGACTGGCCAATTTCTCCTGTGGTTCATAGAAAATCTGAATCTTTGCCCAAGTTTAGGTTGTTTACAAACTAACATCCACTGAAAAGTTAAAATGGTACATACTCATAGCATTTCCGAGGTCAGATGCACACTGGTGGTTATCAGCCCCGAGCACCCCATCACGCCCCGAATGCTCCGGCCGTGCCGGTACCTGAGCAAACCTGCAGCAGCTGTTGCAGAGGCCTCCGTGGCTGTCCCCGGATCATCCACTGTTCCTCCGCCAACAGAAGCCTTGAGCAAAGTATTAAAAAAGGGGAAATGAGTAGAAAGAAGAGATCTTTTTCTGGTGGTGTGGTGTGTGGTTTCCTTCCTCATTTTCATGTGTCACCAAGTTAGTTAATCATGCTTTCTCTCTTCCCTTTGCTCTGCATGAGAAAGCACACTGCCTTCTCCTAAACTGGTAAAGGAAGCGTGACTCCATCCCTCAAGACAGACACATTTCTGGGTTTGTGTGTATGCAGGACAGACCTGCTGCTCCTGCTCTGGGTATTCTGATTTGGCTCCTTTAGAGATGTGGGATGAACAAACGCAGAGTATTTCCTGACAGTTTTCCAGGATAATCCTCAAATGTAGCTCCAAGTTGTTGTTTGTGTGTGTGTTCTGGATGGCACTGGTTGTTGTTAATGCGTGACCAGAGTCTGCTCAGAGCCACTTTACAGTGGGTACTCTGTAAATAAACCAGTAAAACTGGTTTATTTTGGTCTGTGTAGCCAGATGATGCCTATGCTGGTTACAGCCACTTTCTGGTCCTGGCAGGAGGTACTGCTGCATGCAAGGCTGTGGATTGATGATGTGTTTGTTAGGTGTAATGCTGGAGTTTGGTGCATTTCTCTGTGAACAGAGCTGTTTGTGCAAGTCTGTTCCTGCCCACTGATGTGACAGCTCTGGCTCTGTGCTCGCTGCAGTGTGGGAAGTGCCTCATGGTCAAGCTGTCCCTTTGGGGCAGGCATGGATGGATTCACCAGATGCTTGGGCTCCAGCTGTGACAGGGAGTCTGTGCATCAGTACCTGATACACTTTGGCTAATGTGGGGGCTGGTGTCAGTGTTAAATGGCTGGGGAGGCTGAAGAGCCTTGAGGATGGCTGGGATGAAGCTCACCCTTGCCACTGCCATCAGTGTGATGTGTCCCTGGCTGCCCAGCCCACCTCCTGTTTGCCCATCAGTGACGGTGTGAAGGTGACACAGTCCACTGCAATGCTCCAGGACTGATGTCCAGTGCAGTGCCTTCTGTGTTTTCTTCCAAAGTGAGCTCTTGATGCTGTTCCCAGCTGTCAAAGGCAGCAGGTACCAGGTACCTCTGTGTGGGTCACAGTGTCTGTGGTGTCTGTTCTCTGAACAGCTCATCAGACCAGGGGAGGCAGCTGCCAGGTAATTGCCACTCTGCCCCTGGGTGTAGGTACAGTAAATATGTGCAATGAGTGCTGGGTGGGAGTGGGGCTTCTGGCACATCCCTCCTGGGCACTAGTGGGAACTGGTTGGCCTGGGGGCCTGGGGGCTGCTGTGGGAGCACATTCCAGGGTGACTGAGCACTGTTTCCAGGGAAATCCTGGTGCTCTGTGCCCTGCAGTGGAACCCAGTTACTGATATTGTGTCAGCTGGGGCAGGGACCAGCATCAGCAGGGCACAAAAGGGTTGGTGGAAGGTTTAACTCATCCTGAGGTTATTAGAGATGCTCAGTGTGGCAGTGAGTGAGCTGCCTTTTAACTTTGGAAATTGGGGTTCAGTGGCAGAAGTGCCCTGGCAGGCAGGGACACGTCCTGGGAAGGGTGGACAGGCGATGGCTTGGGCAGGCCTGAGCTCTGGTGTGGTGGTGACACACTGATTAATTACAGCTGTTTGCAGTGCTGATAAATGAACCACAATTTATTCCAATAGCCCACGGGCTATTTCATGTGTGGTTGTTGTGATACCTGCAGATGTCATGTACCTGAAAATACTTCCCTGGGTTTTTTTCCAAGTTTTCCAATTGCAAAAGGGGAAATGGTTTAATATTTTGTATAGTGCAAAAAGTCTTTGCATATTTTCTAATATAATATATCATTCTCTGTAAAAGTGTACAGTTTTGTTTATTTATGTAGTAAGGGGAAGAATTTGAGGATATAAGTCATATTAAGATAAGCCTGATTATGAAATAATTTCCTCTGACATACAACTATTACAACTATTGGTTATTGGTCAATGGATTAGGAATTGCAAGCACAGAATGAGAAAAGCACAGTGTTATTCTGTTACCAAAAACCTGCACAGACAAATGGCCCCTCTACATCTGGCCTAGGTTTGTTTGTCCGCCAGTTGTGTACCAGGTGACAGCTCCCTGTATTGAAAAATTACATTTAGTGTGGATTTTAGCTGCATTTCCCAGATCTTGTGTTGTCATGGACTTTGCTCTGACCCAAATTTATCTATTTCTGCAAAATCTTGGCAGTTTGTGATCTCATCTGTAGCATTTCATGATTCTCTTTGAAGTTTTCCTCACAGTTCTACCTTTAAGTTCAAGCTACTTCCCTACAGTTCTGACAGGCATGGTGATTGGGGTCACAGGAGGTCCTTTTTGGCAAGGATGGAGGTTGGGGAGACTCCTCTGTTATTCAAGCTTTCTGTTTCTGCAGCCAGTGGTGGTGGTCCCGGGGTGCTCCCGCTTCATCTGCAGGACAATTTCTAAAGAGGTCAGTGAAGCTCTAGATACTCTCCACAGGACTTGTGCTCCTTCCCCCCCCGATGAGGTGGAAGGCCAGGAAGGGGCGTGGGGACCCCTGAGCTCTAGACGGGCGTCTCGTCCGTGTCGTCCCCTTCGTTCTGCTCCTGGGTCCGTGTCCCGAGCCCCGGCAGCGCCGTGTGCCTGCGCAGAGTGCCCAGCAAGGACTTCCTGAAGGACTTGCAAAGGAAAAAGTATATGAATGGGTCCAGGCAGGCATTGAGGGATGTCAGCCACAGCGTGGTCTCCTTCAGGTAGAACAGGGTGTTCTGAGCAGAGCAGTTAAACACGTCTCTTGTTTGGCTCAAGGTGTAGGGGATTCTGGTGAAGTGGAATGGCACAAAACAAATAAAGAACACAGCGATGATGATGAAAACCTTCAGATTGACAGTCTTTTTGGATGCCTTCCCTGTGCATCTTGTCCTTTTATAGGATTTGTAGAGTTCCTTGCTGATGAGGATGTAGCATACCACTATGACTGCTAAATTAACCCAGAAGATGAGCTGGCAAATGTAGTTTACACTTTCGTGCCAGATTAAGCCAAACTCAGATTTGAGGAGAGCACACTTCCTCACGTTCTTGGGTGTTCTCTTCTTGTTAGTTAAAATCATGTTGGGTAACGAAAGAGCAAACATAGATACCCAGATTGCTGTGGAAAGGACCTTGGCAGCCAAAAGGCTCCGTGGAGTTGATGTTCTGAATGGTGAAGTGGCTTTCTGATAGCGATCAATAGTTATCAGACCAAGAAATAAAATGCTGATGTACATGGTGAAGTAGAACACAACCTGGGTGACCTGGCACACGAACCCAGGACCCACGACACCAGCTTTGCATCACTGAGGATTTTGAATGGAAAAGTCAAGATCATGAGAAAGTCAGAAATGACAGTGTTCTTGAGGAAGATGATGAAATTGGATTTACTGGATATTTTGAAGAAGATCCACATTGCCAGGCCGTTCATGGTGATGCCCACCAGGAATAGAAATGTGTACAGCAAAGGGAAGATGACTTGGCTGATCCTGCTGTCGCTGGTACAGTTGCTGTAGTTCCTGGGGGAGCTGAAGTGGGTTGTGGCTTTCATTTGCACTCTGATGTCCCCCCTTCCCTGGAGAAACAAACAGAAAAGAGTGAAATTGTGAACCTCGTCAGTCTGCTTCTAATTTTGTGTTGGGAACAAGTGCATGCAGCCAGTGGGGCCCGAGCTGGGCTGGGGTGACTCTCAGGTGTAGTGATGCAGTTATTTACATGACTATTGTTGTCTGAGCTCTGCCTGTGTAAAACAGGCACTGGAGGAGTTGATGTGCTGTCAGCTCATGCTCAAATCCCTGACATCTGTCTTACAGAGCCACAAAGTTTTATTTCTCCCTCTAAGATAGAAAAAACTGGCTTTTGCTCTGAAGCATGTAACAGGTTCAGCTGCCAAGTGCAATCCCAACAGAACAAGTACTCCCTGAGCATGGACATGTTCTCCCCCCAGAGCCAAGGGAAGTTACCGTGGGCCAAGGGAAGTTCCAGAAGTGGTGGAATTCAGGTGTTCCCTGCCGTGGAAACTGTAAGGGAGGGTCCTTGGCAGTCCTTCCAGCTCTTCAGCGTGGGAGTGGGCAGCAGTGTTCCTGTGGGATCCCTCGGAGCTGGGAGAGGCAGGAGGAGCAGCTGAGCATCCCAATCCTGAGGCTTAGGCTTTCCTCTGGCTGTGAACTGGTTTCTCAGCCAGTGACAATGGCAGATTCCAACAGGTGCACTCAGAGCTTCTGCTTCTGCTTTCTATAGAAGAGAAAGAGAAATAAATAGAAATTTAAAAAATAATTAGTGATTTACTTCCTGCCTTTGTCTGGCTTCCAGAGACTATTTATAAAGAGAGTGGGTATTTGTCAGATTGTGCAACTTTTCTGAGCATAGAGCTGCACTCCTGTCTGCCCCTTTCAGCCTTGTGATTCTTTAGAGTTACTTTTGTACACAGCCTTGTTTTTTAAAACCTTTGAAGTATTTGAAAGAAGTAGTGATTGATTGCTTTGGAAGAGGTTATCACCAAAGGAAATATTTATATCTTATGTAACTTGCAGAGCAGTGCTTCGAGTTTGCAAGTTACATACAGTAACATCAACATTATATGATATATACATTTTGTTGAAAGGCCACTAACAACGAAATAAACTAGACATATTTCAATTTCTTTGGGATGTGCAAGACAGAATTTTAGGACTTGGACTGCATTTTTTTTCTCAGTGGATTTGTACATAGTAAGTGTCACACAATTTCTAAACGTCTGTCTTCCATTTACTGATCTGCTGTGGAATATTGATCCAGGGGACAGTGTGGAGGGTCATCCCCTGGTTCTGTCCTTGTAGATACACACAGAATTCATAACGTCCGATTGAAGTTCCCCCTCTGTGTTTTTACCCCACTCTTCAGTGATCCCTTCTGGCACTGTTTGTCCCTCCTGACAGCCACAGGAGATGTGTTTGTGTTGGAGTCAGTTGTTGTTTCCTGCAGCCTGGGCCGCCCAGGCCGATGACAGGGATGCAGGTGATGGCAGGGACAGGCAGAGAGCCTTCACTTGCTCTTTTCAGGATGAGTCCTCCAGCCACGAGTGTAACCAGCGCATGATTCTCCTCTATGGCGTGGGTAAGGAGCGGGATGACGCGAGGCACCAGCTGAAGAAGATCACCAAAGACATCCTCAAAATCCTGAACAAGAAGAGCACTACAGAAATGGGTGGTAAATGCTCTAAGGCTGCTGTTCAGTCGCCTGTAGTGACCATTGTCTGGAGACATGCACGTTATCCCGTAATTTGGCTTCCCTCCCCTTGGCAGTCCCTGGGGGGTGCTGAGCAGAGCCCCATGGCCCCACAGTGCTTTGGGATGACCAAGGGCTGCCACCACTAGAAATCCCTGTTTTCCATTGTAGCAATTGGCTGCAAACACTTGTGTTGGGCTAAAGCCTGGAATGTGAGTGATCCATGTTCTCACCCTCCTGGTAACAGCGTGTGGCTGTTTTCAGCTTCTCTGGGGTGTCACCTCTGTGCACTGGGATAACCCCGTGGCAGCTCTGACACTGTTTTGTGCTGTTGTGGATCATTATAATGGAAAACTGGAGCTAATAGGGTTTGTATAGTCATGAGTAAAACTTATTAAGGGTTTTATTGTCTTTTAAATCAGTACCAATGGAAAACTGCCAGGGCTCCATTAAATATAAAATGACTGAAATAACCTTTTATATCTGTTCAGTGGGGGACGAAGGGCAGAAGGCCCGGAAGACCAAACCAGAGGCGTTTCCAACCCTGGAGACTGTGTTCACAAAACTACAGCAGCTGTCCTATTTTGATCAACATCAGGTGACATCCCAGGTACTTCCCTTGTGTCAAATTGTGACCTTTTAGCTCTGCTGCAGGGATGTCAAATGGGAAAGAAATCCTGGTTTTTATGAGCATTTTGTATGTATACAAAATAACCTGGTCTAGTGGAAGGTGTCCCTGCCCGTGGCAGAGAGGTGGAATGAGTTGAGCTTTATGGTCCCTTTCAACCCAAATCATTCTGTGATGATGTGATAATTTGTTCTGAAGGACAAGCTTGGTTTTCCTGCTTTGTGTTAGGACTCATAAGTGTGCAAGTGTGTCAGCACAGTTTCATCATTTTGTATGTGTTACTGGTTTTAAGTATGTTCTAATACCAGAGGCTAATATGTGAAACAAATAAAAGAGGTAAATGTTTGACACTTAATTTATAAGACATCTTTTGGTCTGGTCTTTTGAATAAATTTATTACAAGTTTGGTTTATGTGTTTCATTAATGAACTGAAAACCAGTTGAATATTTCAATCAGCTGAAATAAATCACAGTGCAGCAAGATGCGAAGAAAAAGGATTTTTCTGCTTCTTTGAAGCAAACTGCCTCCAGAACAGAAATCAGTGCTGTAGCTGTTGGGAACAGTTTGAGACCCAGCTGTGAAGCAGCAGAACAACCTTTTGTGTGCTGTGAGGTTTGGAAAGGAAGGGCACTGTGCCTGGCTCAGGGACAGGGAGTGACAGGGGTGCTTGTGCCCGGTGTGTGAGTGCTTTTACCTGCACAGTGCTGGCACTCACTGTTGCCACTTGCACAGCAGGATTTTCGGAGTGCTGGTGTACCTGAGGAGCCCTCAGTCACATCTGACTTCCAGAGTTCCCTTTCCCAGATCTCCAGCAATGTCCTCGAGCAGATCACCAGCTTTGCCTCGGGAACGTCGTACCACCTGCCCTTGGCTCACCACATCCAGCTCATCTTCGACCTCATGGAGCCAGCACTGAACATCAACGGACTGATAGACTTCGCGGTGCAGGTGAGCAGAGTTCATCTGGGGAGGTCCTGGGAGGACAAAGCTGTGGTCCATGCTCTGGGAAGCCAGAAAACCCCCAAGAGCTGGACTGCAAATTCCCTCCGTGTGCTCGTGGCTGTTCCAGTTTCCTGCCCTCTCAGAGTGCCGGACACTTCTCCTTCTGCTGTGCTGTGACCGTTGTGGAGAATCAATGGATGCATTTTATTTTTAAATCTTTCAAAATTAACAAAATTCTGGATTGTTTTAGAACAAAGGATTTTAGGATGGGCTTTGCTGTTTCGGACTAAACCACTGTGTCACCCAGTAACGCACCGGGGTGCCTGAAATGCCGTGGATTTCCAAAGAGCTCTTCTGAGGGATGTTTTTTATACTTCAAGCATTTATTTTGCTCCCTCTTCCCCTTGTTCTGTAGTGAGTAAAGAACTGCATTTTTGTTCACCTCACAGTTTTTCCTTAATGTATTTTTTTTTTTTTTTTGCTCCTGTTTTACGTGTTTAACTGGGAAATTACTTTCAGTTTGCTGCTCTTGTGTGTGTTCCCAGCTGCTGAACGAGCTGAGCGTGGTGGAGGCCGAGCTGCTGCTGAAGTCGTCCAGCCTGGCCGGGAGCTACACGCCGGGGCTGTGTGTGTGCATCGTGGCCGTGCTGCGGCGGCACCACGCCTGCCTCCTCCTCAGCTCCGAGCAGACCGCCCAGGTCTTCGAAGGGTCGGTGGCACACACGCCTTCTCAAAGAGGGATTTTGTTCTCTCTTAAGCAAGGAAAGCATTTTGGTTTGGGTGGTTGGAGCAGGTGTTGCAGTGCTGCTGAAGGGCCGTGGGTGAGCTCAGGTGAGCGGGGTGGAGGGCTCAGCTCTGCAGCCTGCACCCACTGCCAGGGGCTGCTGGGATCCTCAGCCCTTGTAGCCTTGGACAAGGGGGTTGTGCCTTCTGATTTCCTGCCCATTTGCCCCGCTCTGCCCTGGGCTCCACAAGTGCCTCTGCCACAGGTGACACCAAATGTCACACGAGCCCCATCGGGCTGTAGATGAAGGTCTGTCGTGTCCCCAGCTGACAGTGGGGTTTATCTGATCTGTGACACATTTGTCAGGTGTGTTGGAACAAACTTGGGATGCTTTTGCGTTTGCAGGTTGTGTGGGGTAGTAAAGCACGTCGTGAATCCCTCTGAGTGTTCCTCCCCAGAACGGTGCATTTTAGCTTACCTGTACGACCTGTACGTGTCCTGCAGCCACCTGAGAAGCAAGTTTGGAGACCTGTTCAGGTGGGTGGTGAAGGGATTGTTCTCACCCCTGCCCACAGACTGATGTGGGCTGCTGTGGTTTCCCTCTGCTTTCCATCCCCTGGAAATCGCCGCTGCCTTTGCAGCTTTAGCTTCACTGATGCAGGTCCTGTGTCCGTGTTTGAGTTTGTGGAGTTTCATGCTTGAATGTTCAGTTTCTTGATTTTTAAATTTAAAAAACATTAGGTTTCCATAAACTGTGTTTTTGGCTTTTACTTTTTAAAGGGGGAGTGGAAACCTTTCAGATGTAAATCCACATCTTGTGAGACTCACAAACCACCTCAGCTGCTGTTTCCCCTCCTGGTTTGTGTACCTGGTTTGGGTTTGCAGAGTTCAGATTTGTGGTTTCATTTCATAGGGAGCAGGAAAGGTGTTCTCAGTAATAATCTTAATATTTTAATAGGTTTACAGATACGTGGGAACAGTAGCATTTAATATGAGAAACGTAATGAAAAAGAAATAAGAAATATAGAAGAACTACAGAAATATCTTAGCTAGCTCTATGTTCATTTTCCCACTTAAAACCTGAAGTTTTAGTAACACAATAAAATTAGCATTTCTATTCATACTAACCTACAGTAGCAAATCAAAATAGCATCTAGCAATATATAGATATACAAGGTATTAAATCATATATTAAATATGTGATACACAGCGCTTGTTTTGAAACACCCTTTTTTGGACAAATGGACTTAGAAATTCCTGAAAACTGTTAATAGAATTTATGTATACGTTTTTAAACAGCTGTGTGTAAGGTAATAGCATTACATTAATTTGATTATTGATTTCCTTGCTTCAGTTGAAACACCCAACTCAGCTGGATGTTCACAGTAACATTTTAAGCTCCTTTTTCACCTGCTGTAAGCCCAGCTCACTCAGGCAATTTGAAGCAATGATAAATTACAATTCAGAATTATGATAAATTACAATTCACATTCACAATGATAAATTACAGTTCACATTTAGAGACTCACCCCCTGTGCATTGCTGTGCTCTGGTCTCCTCTTCAGTGTCTCCTGAGTGGGTGTCAGTGAGGGCACAGCATGTTTGGTTTTGTGTGCTTGGAACAGTTACTAATCTTCCCTAAACTTCCTTTTTTTTAAGTATTCTTTTAACTTTTTTTTTTTTTTTTAAATCTTATCTCCTGACCACTCCCCCAGCACTGCCTGTGGTGCAAGTGCTGTCTCAGAGGCTGCTTTGCTCTGGTGCTCAGTGCTGGTTGGGTTTGGGCCTCCCTTTCTGTGGCCATGGGGTGGCTGTAGGGGAGTGTTGGGGTGTCAGGGCCAGCCCTGTGCCCGTTAGCACCTGGTGGCTTTGGTGGCAGCTGTTTGTGTTCCACGCACTGGATTTCTGTCTCTGCTGCTGTGCTGGCTGTCAGAGCAGAGGGTTAATGTCAGGCACTGCCCTTCTTCTAATTAATTACCCCACTAATGGCCTCGGGCAGGCAGTGACAGGGTCCCAGGGCAGCGACAGGGGGTCCCAGGGCTGCAGGGGCTGCACAGTCACAGGGTGCTGCCCTCCCAGCCCCTGGCCAGACACACTGGTGCTGCTCCCTCAGCTCCCAGCTGCCTTCCAGGCTGCCCAGTGTTTCCTCTCTCTTTTCATCCTGGGGCTGGTGGAGTCCTAAAAAACTCCAAAATTTTCTCGTATTTTAAGTTAATTTAAATTAAGAGATTCTTTTCAGTAATGGGCTAATCTTCCCAGTTGGGCTAATTAGTGAAGTTTGTCCATGTGGTATAAAACCCCATCCTGGAGAGAAACACTCCTTAGAACGTTTTGGGTGTGAAATTTGCATTCCTCACTGACACATTTTTTCCCCTGAAGAAAACTGCTTCACATAGAGGTGTTCATGGCCTGGAACAGTTCTTGCCCTTTTGTCTAATTATTAATGTCAAAATATGACCTCTAATATCTTTTCTCTATTTACTGGTTTCCAAATGCTGTCTGTTATGTCACATTATTATCAAATGTAGTTTTTAACTGAGATAAATGTTCTCATTTTGCCTTAATGAATTTCCCCTGCCCCACTGCACCTCCCATGGGAATGGGAGAGCGATGTTGGGAGGTGTGGTTATACTCCCTGTAGGGCCATCTGATGCCCCAGGAAGAAGCTGCTGGGGAGGAGGACATTGGGCCTTACCCAGCTGCTCACAGTGTCCAAGAAGGGATTTGGAAACTCAGGACTTTATTTGTAGGAAAACTTGAATGAAATTTATGTATCAGCCTTGTTATCTGGTAGATGCTCCTTATCCAAAATGAGTTTGCAAATGTGCCTGGAGTGGTAACCCAGCCAGGACTTTCTCATCCCACGTGGTGTGTCCAGCACACTCCTGCAAGGTGCCTTTGGCACCTCTCTGTTTTTGGTCCTCAGTAGTGCCTGTTCCAAGGTGAAGCAGACGATCTACAGCAACATCCAGCCCTCAAACTCCAACTTGCTGTGGGACCCAGAGTTCATGCTGGATTTCCTTGAGAATCCCTCTGCTCTCAGCATTAACTACTCGATGCTGGGCAAGATCCTGAGCGACAACGCAGGGAACCGCTACAGCTTCGTGTGCAACGCGCTGCTGAGCGTCTGCATGGGCCACCAGGACCCAGGCAGGTGAGGCCATGGGCCACCAGGACCCGGGCAGGTGAGGCCATGGGCCACCAGGACCCGGGCAGGTGAGGCCATGGGCCACCAGGACCCGGGCAGGTGAGGCCATGGGCCACCAGGACCCGGGCAGGTGAGGCCATGGGCCACCAGGACCTGGCCAGTTGAGGCCATGGGCCACCAGGACCCGGGCAGGTGAGGCTGTGCTGGGGCGGGACACAGCCAGCTCACAGAGTGGGGATGAGGTTTCCTTTCCTTTCACCTTTTTGCTTGGTGTCTTTTTTTTTTTTTTTCCCAGTTGTTTTCATTTTCATTCCTGTTGCTGAAAATGTGTTGTGTAATTTCCTCCGAGTTCCTTGGTTCAATCAGTCTGCATAGTTTAGCAGAAGGGAGGAAGGAGCAGCAGGCACTCGCTGTCAGACAGTCAGGGAGGGTTTTGTACCAGCAGTTGAGCTGTTCCAGAATGAACAGGTCAGCACAATCTCTGCTCACTAGAAGTCTGCATTAGGTCGTTGCCTCCTTCTGGTACAATTGGTGTTTCATTTATTAAGTGTGTAATTCATAAATTATGGATTTTGTCTTCATAGGCAAGACATAGGTTTTTGAAAGGTCTGTTTTTTAAGTATTAAGAGTTTTATTGGGAGAATGGCTTCAAACTGCCAAAGAGTAAGTTTATATTGGATGTGAGGAAGAAATTGTTCCCTGTGAGGGTGGGGAGGCCCTGGCACAGGTTGCCCAGAGAAACTGTGGCTGCCCCATCCCTGGGAGTGTCCAAGGCCAGGTTGGACAGGGCTTGGAGCAACCTGGGATAGTGGAAGGTGTCCCTGCCCATGGCAGGGGGTGGGACTCGGTGATTTTTAAGGTCTCTTCCAACCCAAAGCAGTCTGTGATTCTCTGGAGTGTGGGCCATCCTTGGCAGGGCAGAGCAGCTGAGAGGAAGCAGTTTTGTAAGAGCACGAAAGGGAACATCTAAATGCGGCCAAACAAGTTTCACTGTGGAACAGAGAGAAAATAACTTGCACTGGGATGAGTCAACTCTTCTGTGTTTCTTAAGCTGTTACATAACCCTGAATCATGCCCCAAATCCCATGTTACACAGTATGGGATCTGTGAAGTAAAATTCATTGGTGCCAGTTGATTTTGTGACTTGTTTCCCTGCTGATGGTGGTGCTGCCTGGCAGGGGGGAGAGCTCCTGCAGTGACCTGTCACGGTGACCTGGGGCTGGGGAGAGGTGCCCCACACACCCCTGTCCCTGACACTGCTGCAGGAGAGGTTTCTGCCAGGCTGGCCAGCACAGGGTAACCCTGGGGTGTATGTACAGTAGCCTAATCACATCAGGACATAAATCCCCACCTGAAGTAAGGAAACAGCAGTTCTGCCAAGCACTGCTCTGCTTTGACCCAAGTATTTGCTGTGTACAAAATCCGTGGGCTCTGTGTGAGTGTTTCCCTCCTTCCAGGATCAATGACATAGGGAACCTGTGTGCAGAGCTGACGTCGTGCTGCACCCTGCTCAGCTCGGAGTGGCTGGGGGTGCTGAAGGCTCTGTGCTGCTCCTCAAACCATGTCTGGGGCTTCAACGATCTGCTCTGCAGCGTGGATGTAAGTTCGGTATCTTCTGAATGCCTGTGACACCCATTTACCCCCCGTTTCCTTAGAGGGGTGGTGAGGCTTTGGTTCCACACAAAATGCAGAGAACAAATTCAATCTTGTATCCATTTGACTTTTCAAGGCTTTTCATGAGGTTTCTGACTGATTTTTATTCCTTCCTGCATCTTCAGAGTTAACGTAAATTCGAGCAGTGCTTAGAGTTTTGTCTTTGTAAGTGTGTTCTGTTCTCTATGGGGGATGATGCAGAGTGCCAGAGTGACTCCCCAGCAGGAGCAGGCGTGGCCATGTGCTTTTCCTAAGATGCTGATGGATGTGGAAATAACTGTCTCTGTTTTAAGGACCCTGTTTTGGTGTTGGCTCCTTGATTGTAGAATGGGTGATACTGCTATGGTCAGCAGGATTACAGTGACTGATGTGATCCAGTACTTGATTCCATATATTTACCCTCAGTTTGGGGGCATTTGCCTTTGGGAGCATGCTAAAGCTGTGTCCATAGGGACCTTCCTCTCTTGAAGCCAAGGAAGGAGTCTTGATGTTACCTAGTTTTATTGAGTGCTAAAATTTTCTCCAATTTTTATAAGACTAGAGTTTTTTATTTCAGAATTTTGATATTTTAGTATTTGATATTGGTGTTTGTTAAAATTCAGTTAAAAGCCATATTTGCCCTAAGATGTTTGGGAAATGCATTAAAAATGCTCCTGTATAACCACTTTATGTTTATTGTATGAATGAATCCCTCAGTACTCGTGGCAGGGGTGTGTGCCCTGCTGTGTGAGGCCTGGCAGTGTTTCCCTGGCAGGTGAGTGACCTGTCGTTCCACGACTCCCTGGCCACGTTCGTGTCCATCCTGATCGCCCGGCAGTGCCTCTCCCTGGAGGATGTCATCCAGCACGTTGCACTGCCTTCCCTCCTGGCAGCTGGTAAGGGAACACCAAGAGAAGAATTTAAGGTGAAAACCTTGAGACTTCCTAAGCAGTCTGCAGGGGTGGGACGAGCAGCGTGCTGTGCCTGCAGTGCCAGTGCCATGTCCTGCAGTGCCAGTGCTGTGTCCTGTGGTGCCAGTGCCATGTCCTGCAGTGCCAGTGCCATGTCCTGCAGTGCCAGTGCTGTGTCCTGTGGTGCCAGTGCCATGTCCTGCAGTGCCCAGTGCTGTGTCCTGCAGTGCCCAGTGCTGTGTCCTGCAGTGCCAGTGCTGTGTCCTGTGGTGCCAGTGCTGTGTCCTGTGGTGCCAGTGCCATGTCCTGCAGTGCCAGTGCTGTGTCCTGTGGTGCCAGTGCTGTGTCCTGCAGTGCCCAGTGCTGTGCCTGCAGTGCCAGTGCTGTGTCCTGTGGTGCCAGTGCCATGTCCTGCAGTGCCCAGTGCTGTGTCCTGCAGTGCCCAGTGCTGTGCCTGCAGTGCCAGTGCTGTGTCCTGTGGCTCCCAGGGAGCGGTGCCAGTGGAGGGCAGAGGCTGGGAGGGCGAGGTCAGAGCTGCTGGCAGGGCACTGCCCCCCTGTCCCAGTGTGTGCAGCCTCACCTGCTCCTTGCTGCTCCACACTGTGCTCCAGGTCCTGCCACACCTGTGCTGTACCTGGGGTCTTCTTTGTTGGCCATTTCAGACATTTCTTTTCACTTTCTCCTTGGATTTGTGTTTCTTCTTGCTGCTTTAACTGTCAAAAGCCATTACAACCATATATTCTTTTCTGCCATTAATTATGTCTCTTGCTTACAAAAATTCCTGCCATTCTTTCCTGATTTTTAATGACTCAAGACCATAAATGCTTATTCCTGTTGATGAAATCATTGTATTTCCATCTAAAATGATGGAACATTCCCAGACCTGCTGCTGGGACTTGTGAGGTCCTGGGCAGATCCTCATGTCCATGTCCCATCTTCCACAGCCTGTGGGGATCTGGATGCTGAGCCTGGGGCCAGGATGACCTGCCGGCTGCTCCTGCACCTCTTCAGGACACCCCAGGTGTGCCTCTTTGCCCAGGAGACAGGTGAGTTGTCTGCTGCTTGGTCCTTCCATTGCAGAGTGAACCCAGAATTGGTTTTTGATGGCTGCAGATTTTGTGGGTGAAAATATCCATAGTGGAAGTTCAAAATTGCACATTTCACTGGTGAGGAGTCGATAGCAACAGTTCTTACTGGTTTGGGAAATGGTTTGGATGCAGGTAAAACTATAGGATTTTGCTGAAACTTATTCATTATCAACACCTGGCAGTGGTGAAGAATGGCAGTGACAGAGGTACTAATGGGGATACACATTGTGCTGTTTGGGAGCTTAGCGTGGAAATAGCAAGTAAATATGATTTCAAATGGGGTATAATAAAGCATCTTGTCCAACAGAAGGTACACGAGAAAATTAGTTCTCAGGATATGTGAAGGTGGTTCTCTTTTCTTTTTAAATGTGACTATTTTCAGGTCTGATGTGTGTGTGTTTGCCACAGAGCAAAAGAGGAAGGAAAAAGGCAAGGAAAAAGCACCTAACAATTAAATGCATATGAGCCTGGTGATAACCTGTGTTATATATGCATGACTTCTAATATTTGGGCAAATTTGATAACAAGATTTGATAACAATTATATCCATGGGAAAAAGAAATTGAAAGAAAAGTCAGCTCTTAAACGGTGTCAAATTCTTCCATCTAAAAGTAATAGTAATTTCTTTTCTGACATAAATTAATGAGCTTTTTTGCATATTTGAGAAAAACAGGCAAGAGCTGTGAGAAATACTGACTGGGAACAGACAGACGTGGCTTCCCTAGAAATAGAAGTAGATTTGAATGGATAGGAATAATCATGACTGAACCATAGGAAGTAACACAAAGAGACCACGTTACAGACCGTCCTTACACCTGGCTCAGTTAACTGCCTCACAGAGGTGATGGATTCATCCTTCCCCTCATCCCTCCCTGCCTTGCAGTCTGTGCCTCTCCTCCTTCAGGTTGCACAAAGCACTCACTGACTTCTGCAGGCTGCAGAGCTGCAGAGTTGAGTGTAACTGCAACAGGCATGGACAGCACTGAATTCTGCCTCATTTGTCACACAGATGAGGTGAGGGAAGTAATTTCCTAAATCTGTGAAGTCAAAACCAAAATAGGCTTCAGTGTCTCATTGTGGTTAAATTCACTGTTCCCATGGACACAGTGAACCAGCAGGCTTCTTTTTCTGTTTCAATGCCCATAGCTTATTTTGATATGAATCCATCGTAACCACATATCCCAGCTGAATTAATGACTTACCTGCTGGGCTGCACTTTCAATTTCAGAAGATTTCAGTTCTTCATTCAGTTCTTGTACTTCTGTAGCTGTTCTAGCTGAGGAGGATTTCACACAAAGGAAATGTTAGTTAGTAAATAACACCCATTTTCTACAAAAATCTGCTCTTCTCTCCGTAGGGAAATTATTTCCTGGAATTCGCTCTTCCTGTGACCGTCACCTCTTGGCCGCTGCTCACAACAGCATCGAAGTGGGAGCTGTGTTTGCAGTTTTGAAAGCAATTCTGATGCTTGGTAAGAGTGTGCAGTCCTGTGTGATGTGTTTGTGCCAGTGTTTGGGTGGAAAACAGCTTGTGCTAGTTCCCTTCCCTGGGAATGCTCCTGGGGAGGGAAAACCCTGAGGACAAGGGAAGAATGTGGCTGCTGCTCCTGCTCCTGCAGCATGTGGGGAGTGCAGACTCCAGGTTAAAGGCAGATTTTTCCCTGGTGAGTCAGCCCCAGCAGAGAGGCTTTGAGCAGATGTGACTATTTCAGATGTTTACCCCGACCTCTGCCACTGAGTCCCAGGACATTCAAACTCAGGAGAGTCCCTCTCACATATAGAGAGGAAAAAGGATCTCAGATAAGTTTTCCCACATTTTTCTGTGTTTTACCACAAATCCCATGTGTCTGCCATTGTGGAAGTTGTAAAAGCATCACCCTGAGCAGCTCTCCATGAAGGGTGAGTGTTGTTTTCCAGACAAGTATCTACCTCAGAACTTTGGTTTGGCTCCAGTTCAGCTGAAGTTCCTGTGACCTCTGGGGAGATGTATTTTTGGAGCTCAGTAAATGTCTGGTTAAACAAGCAAGATGTTCCAGCCGTGGCTGTGCCCACAGGGTGTCCCTCCAGCCAGAGTGCCACTGTGACAGTCTGTTGGCCAGTGTCTCAGAACCTTCAAACCCCCTGTGACCCCTAATAATGTGACTGTACTGGGGAAGGATGTTACAGGCAGAGCTAGCTGGGATAGACTGGTGGATTGGAGAGAGAGATTGAAAAATGTTTATGGCCATTATCTATGTACTCTTGCTGTTTATTCAGAGTGCTGAGATTTAGGATTTTTCTTCATTAACTGTGTGTGGTATGAACACTTGTGGTTTTGTCTCTGCAGAGACATGGTTTGGTTTGGTGCAAGGGAGTACAAGGGAAGGTTTAGGTACATTGTGCATTTACTGCAGCACTTCTCCTCCTATAGACTCAAACTATTCTATTTGGAGAGGTCTGTTGTTGGCACCCTGCATTAATAAATTAAAAATTGTACTTGCTTTGTTGAGGAAAAACATCAGATAAATGGTAGCTGTTGCAGTTCTGTGCTGAGGAAGCTGTTCCAGTTTTATCAGAGCTTTCTGGGATGGCTTTAGCTTCATGTGACCTTGGTTCCACTCTCTTTACTGTATTATTTGCCTGCCAGATTCTTCCCTCTCATCCTTCCTGAATAGAGATGTGGGCTCATGGAAAGGTTGAGGGGTCACTCAATGGCTGAGGGGCCCTGGGTCAGACTTGTCTCTTGATCTACAGAATATTAATAAATCAAAATAAGAGATAGGACTTGGAAAAGGGGCATCTGAGAAGACCTAATAACTCAACTCTTCCTTACCTGCCAAAGCAATTCCTTTCACTCACCTTTTCCTTTCGAGCACATGGTGGCTACAGTTGTGTTTGATTTGTATAAATCCTTTCCTACTTCCAAAATACCCATTAAAAAGATGCTTTGCAACATGAAGCCAGAGGACAGTACTTTGGTGATGTTCAGAGTCAGCCAGTGCTGCCCTTTTGGATGTGATGGCCTCACTGCTGCTCAGCTCCCGGTGCCCCAAAGGCCTCTGTCCCTGGGGTGAGGGTGTGGGGCTGGGGCGGGAGTTCACCCTGTGCTTCTGCTGGACAGGTGATGCAGAAATTGGGAACAACAATGTCAGCTCCTTGAAGAGTGAAGAGTTTCATGTGAGAGGCTTCTTAGATGAGCTCAATGAGGAGGAAATCTGGGGTTCCTCTCAAGCTTTGAAATCCTGCAGAAAAACTGTTTCCATGGAAACTGCCAGTCTGAGCGAGTACGCGAGATACGTGCTCAGAACCATCTGCCAGCAGGTAAAGCCCCAAAACTGCTCCTCCATCCTCATTTGGGGAAAGAGCTTTGTTTATTTGAAAAGTGTAACATCTATTTTGGTGCAAAATTAGTGTTGGAGTATGTCAGCATTTGTGTTCTGTTGGAGTTTCCTGATGTGGACAATTTATGCGTGGAGTAGTGAGTTACTTGGGTTAAAAAATGCTTTAGTTAGTTGCTAACATCCCCCTGCACTCTCAGAACTGAGGCGTTTTTCCTACCTCGATCTCAAGTACTTTGGGAAGACAGAAGGACCGCTCTATCAACCTTCTGCTTAAAGGGCTTTTACAGTAGCATTTGTGTTATTGCAAAGTTGCTCTCAAAGTACAGAAGAAATTAATTTTGGAAAACCTGTTAACAGTCTTAGACGGGTGGTTCTGAGTGACAGAAGACATTGCTAATCTCACATGTGGCATGAGCCATAGTTCAGTGCAAGTTTTGCATATGAAACAATCACTTTTCTGTTCAGCTTACCAAAAGTTAGTATTGCCTTGAAACTCTGCTGAATCTGTCCTTTGACTCCTTACAGGAGTGGGTCGGAGAGCACTGTTTGAAAGAACCTGAGAGGCTGTGCACTGACAAAGATCTTATTTTGGATCCCGTTCTCTCAAACAGACAAGCACAGAAACTCCTTCAGCTTATCTGTTATCCTCATGGCATTAAGGAGTGCCCCGAGGGTGACAACCCTCAGCGGCAGCACATCAAGCGCATCCTTCAGGTGAGGGGCTGGGGCAGTGCCAGCAGCACCACCCAGGGACACTCATTTGCAGCTGCTGGTGCAGCCAAGTATTAGATTATTCTTTAAAGGTTCTGGGTGCTCAGGACCTGCAGTCTCTGTAGGGAAGGTTTGTGGTGTGACTCAGGGTGTCTCGTTCCCTCTGATCCCGAGTCAGGCAGGAGCAGCACACCCGTCACCGCCGCTCCAGGACTTGGGAGCCGCTCTCAGGGCTGCTCAGGAGGAGGTTCCTGCTGTCCCAGGGGGGCTCTGGGACAGTACTGGCCTGACAGTCACTCCTGCTCCATTGGAAAGGCTCAAGCTGACCATGTCTTCACATTCAGCTGCATTAGGGACAATTCATTTCCTAAACTGCAAAATGGATTTTCTGTGAATAGCCCTGTGAAAAATCAAGTCTGCAATATCTGGACCAGGACAAATAAGGGTCAATGTCCTCCAAAAAAAAATCATGTCTAGATGGCCTCATGCTAAATTCAGACCTATCCACTTGGATGGCAATGCCAAGGATTGGTGGAATTACCAATGAAAGAGAGAACTACGTTTTCTGTATTTACATTTAACTAAATTCAGATTTTGCAGAGAATGAGATTCTTATTCAGAAAGGCTGTGAGGGTAAAAGTACTGAGGAATGGTGTTAGCTGAAAGGTGTGGAAGTGCATGTTCTTTAATGCTCTGATGTTTTGGTGTGTCATTAGAGTATTAGAAAGATCAGTGATTGTGATGATCTGCCTATAAGATGAGACTTCTGCACGTGATGTGTTCGAGTATGAGATTCATTCCTTCAGACCTGTAAAATGTTGACTTTATGTTAATATTATTAACAATTAGCATGTGTGATGTTAATTCTCCCCTAGAACTTAGACCAGTGGACGCTGCGGCAGTCGTGGCTGGAGCTGCAGCTGATGATCAAACAGTGCACGAAGGAGCCCGTGAGTATTGGTTTTCAAACTTCCTTATCTAAATATTTAATGCAAAAAAGTATGTTAAATTTTAAGGTAGTCCATGAGCGAACATGCCATGAATGTGCTAGTGTACTTGTGTTTCACTGTAGGGTTCTGGGGCTGTGGCTGAAATGAACAGCTTGTTGGATAATATCGCAAAGGCCACAATAGAGGTGTTTCAGCAATCCGCTGAGCTAAACAATAACTCTTCTAACTCTGGTATAGGCCTCTTCAGTCCAAACTCTGTTGGAAATGCTGACACGAGTAATACAAGACAGAATGGTAAAAAGACATTCCTAAGGTATTTTTTGTAGCACCTTTTTAATTCTTCTAGCCAACATGATGCTTAACTGTGTGTAGATTGCCTAGACTGTGTTGTACTTGAACCAGGAATGCACAGAAACAGTTGTCTGAAGGTTCCTTCTATTTACTTTTGTTTGACAATAAATGTAGTTTCTATTCTTGAAATTTCTGCACACCAGAAATTGTGACTGCTCAGTCCTCACTAGTTACCCCAGATGTACCGTGCCACTGCTTTATTGAAGCAGTTCAGTCTTGTAACAGTTCATAGTGGCTGCAAAACTGCCTGCATATTTTGACTGAAATAAGTTTGTTCTGCTCCTAGTTCCTCTGAGAGGCGAGGAGTGTGGCTGGTGGCTCCCCTGATTGCCAAACTGCCCACCTCGGTTCAAGGTAGGGTCTTGAAAGCTGCAGGAGAGGAGCTGGAGAAAGGGCAGCATTTGGGGTCATCTTCTAAGAAGGAAAGAGATAGACAGAAACAAAAAAGGTATGACCTTGGGGAACCCCTGCAGACAGAGCTAAACCGTGTTTGTGAGGGAGGAGTTTACTGGGGACTCAAAATTTTGTCAACTCCAAGGGTTCAGGCGTCAGTTGGGCTGAAGGAATACCATTGGTTCCAAAAGAGGACATGTAGAAGCTTTGTAACCCATCTGCCAGGGGCTGTGCTGCAGCTCAGTGATGGGAAATGTTAGGGATGTAAAGCAACAGGTAGAGCACTTGTTGTCTCTTCCCTCATGTGGCATTAGGCCTCTTTGCTTGCATTAAGATCACACCATTGTCACTTCACTTGCTTCCTGTTGGGAATTGAGCTTAAGCTCATCTCTAACTTGCCAAAACATGTGAGAATTTTGACTAAATGGTTATTGATTTTCCTTCAGTAAAACATTCTTCCATGGTGCCTGTAATGTTTTTGCACTTCCTTGAAGTTATGCTACAAGTTCCACTGAATTAAGCCCACATTGGAATTTTAGACCAATTCAGGCAGCTCTTGTTCTAATCAGAGCTCCTAGGGGAAACTTCCTCGGGGTTCACTTCAGACCAGTAGCATGGATTAGAAACTTTCGCTGCCTTATCTCTGTTAAAATGTTGTCCCTGGTTAATCAGAGTAGTCTTAAATAACCTGCCCTGTTCTTGAGTCAGGCCTTCAGGTGTGTGGGCAGTTCTTGGTCACTCAGGGCCCCCTGAGCCGGGGGTCTCAGTAACAACATGTGTATCTGGGCTGGCTGGGGCTCTGCCTTCCTGGGGCATGCTCTTTAGTTCCTCTGGCAAGACTTTATTGACTAAAATAGAAGCAGACATAGATGCAGCAGTGCCACTTCAGGGAAGAAAGCGTAGACAAAACAGGAAGGGAGCGAGATGGGAAGTATCAAAATAACTTCACTAATGCAGTGCTGTGTTTGCTTCTCCTAAAGCATGTCCCTGCTGAGCCAGCAGCCTTTCCTGTCACTGGTACTCACTTGCCTTAAGGGACAGGATGAGCAACGGGAAGGGCTTCTCACATCCCTGCAGAATCAAGTTACTCAGGTAAAACAAGCACAGAACCATGAGCACCTTTGTTAGGGGTGTGTGTGTCAGCAGTTTTATGTGTATATGATGGTGTAAAACTGGGAAAATTATAGTGCAGTGGTGTGCCAAAAGGAGCAGTCCAAGGAGGGGAGAGTGGGGAGGTGTTTGTTACTTTTTTGAATGTGAATACATCTTTTTTTTTTCTAAATTTATTACAGAGAAATACAATGAACTGGAGTCTGATTTCAGTTCTTTCCAGGAAAAACAATAAAGGAGTTAGTCCTGAGAGGAACAATCTTCCCAGTCCCTATCTTGATCCTAAAGAGTTTTTATAAGTTTGAAGGTGTCCTTTTTGGGAAAACCCGTCACCTTCTCCAGCTGATACAGACTGAGCTTTCATAGTTTAAAAAACACTGTTCCTGGTCCCAGCCTGGCCACTGCCTGCAGCTCTGCTTTGGGTTTCTTGTGCTTACTCACAGCCTCTGCTCATCCTGCTCCAGAGTTCCTGCTTCCACCCAGCTCACACTCCAGCCTCCAGCAGCAACTTCAGGCTGCCTTTGACCTGAACATGTCCCGTGCCCAGAGCAGTGGGTCACATCTCCTTTCTCTGACTTCAGTTTCTGTGACCTGCTGTGACAGTGAGAATTGGTACCTGTATGACTTTTTTTCCCATATTGCCCCTTGGCTCAGGTCAGGCTACAACACAGGTCCACATCCTGGGGAAATTCATTCCTTTGATGGTTTTTCCCCCTCAGTTTCTGCTGCTTGGGCTTTCCTTTCACTGTGAGGGTTCTCCTCTGAAATGCAGCTGGTCCTTGGGCTTCTGGTTGTTTCTCATCCAGAGATCCCACTGAGAAGCTGCATCCAGTGCAAGAGATCTCTTGACTTACCTGTGGTGAAATAGGCTGTTTCAAACAATATTGTTAAAAAATGCATATCAAAGCTGATTTTTTTTTTTTTGCTGCAACAGGAAGATGCTGTCACACCACTGACAGCAGATCATCAGCTCCTTTACAAATTAACTTTTTCCTCCCACCACTTTGTTAAATCTGCTCAAAGCCTTAAACAGGCAAGAGGATAAAAAGGTCTTTTATGATTCCTGATGGATAATGGTCACAAATACTTAAAGGGAGAACATTACAGGAGGAAAGCAACCTTAATCCAATCCTTTTTCTTAGATCCTCAGTAACTGGAGGGAGGAGCGGTACCAGGACGATGTCAAAGCCAGGCAGATGATGCACGAAGCCCTGCAGCTGCGCCTCAACCTGGTAACAAAAACTCCTGGTTATCCTGATGTTATGAAAAGATGCAGCAGCTACTCTGGAGGAGGTGGTAAGGAGCAAGGAGCTCCAGAGTATCCAGCATCCGGGGGGATGAGGCAGCTGTTTATTCCTAAGGGATCCGTGCACCAGAGGAAGCCAAGGGAGCCAGGGGGAGCTGCTCTGAGCCATGCAGAGCCTTGCTGCCTGCTCTGTTGTTTTGCAGGTGGGTGGCATGTTTGACACAGTGCAGAGGAGCACCCAGTGGACCACAGACTGGGCCCTTCTGCTCCTCCAGATCATCACCTCAGGGACTGTGGATCTGCAGACCAACAAGTATGTCTGCACTGTTCAAACAGCTAATTTGTGTCCTTAGGCCTTTAAGTTTAGGTTGCATGTGGGTTATTGTTACAGTTTTTTATCCTGTTACTGCTTGAGTGGGATTTAGGGCTCTGTGCTGGCCTGGGGTAGGGGTACCTCCATTTGGGAAAGCCTTGGAGGTGCCATTCACACCCTTCCTTACCTATCCCATGCCTGAGTGCTCCCCTGAGTCTGTAATTCCTGATGCCTCTGTTGGCAGTCTGTGCTGTCTGTGGCTCTGAGCTGGGGTTTAGGATGAGATTTGTGTCCACCTCATGTGTACAGTGGGGCTCAGGAATGTGAGCTCAAGGGTGTGTGTGTATACAGAAAGCCCTGAGAAACCCAGCCTGGCCAAGAGCTTCCTCTGCGGCCTCTGCCATGAATATCTGTGCCTGGATCTCCTGGCAGTTGTGGTTCCTCAGGGTAACACTTGCTTTTGCTCCCAGGGAATTGTTCACGACTGTGCTGGACATGCTGGGGGTCCTCATCAATGGGACACTCGCCTTGGACCTGTCCAGTGCCTCCCAAGGAGGGCCTGAGGAGAACAAAAGGGCTTACATGAATTTAGTGAAGAAATTAAAAGTAAGGGTCATGTCTCATTTTCAACATTTCCTTTGAACTGCTTTCTGCCCTCATCTTTTAATCATGTCATTTCTAGTGTCTGGAAAGGCCTCTTGGAAACACAGGAGAGACTAAAACATACCTAGTCATAAAAAGGAGAAAAAAAAGAAAATACAAATACAGGAGTGTGGAGGTGGGAAGATACTTCTAGGATTTTCTTCATATTCAATTAAAATTGGGGACTCTGCAAGACACTCAGTTGCTTTTATTTACGTTTGAGATACTAATTTTGTTTTATGTATTTTCTACACTGTGTTTAAACAAGAGATGAAAAGAAAACTTACATTCTTTAAACAAAGAGAAAACCCAAAAAAAACCCCTTGCAAAGCCACTTGCTTAAATTTAATAAAAGTACAAGGAAATGATTCATGCAGAAACTGGACATTTGTAATAGTGAAAGCAGTGCCACGTTCTCTGCTGTCCCCTGTGTCTGGCTGACGGGTGTGTTTGTTCCCCAGAAGGAGCTGGGGGACAGGAGGTCCGAGAGCATCGACAGGGTCCGGCAGCTGCTGCCGCTGCCCCGGCTGACGTGTGACATCGTGGCCTGTGAGCCCACGGGGTCCCTCATCGACACCAAGGGCAACAAGGTCGCGGGCTTTGACTCCATTGACAAGAAACAGGCAAGAGCAAACGTTGGTCTCGGCCTCCCTTTCCCTGGGTTCGGAAGCGCAGGAATTCCGCGGAGCAGGCACAGCCTGTGCAGTGCGGGTGTTCCTGGGCAGGGTGGTGAAGGCTGGGAGACACCCTCCCAGTCCCCCAGCAGTGTGGGCCCTTACACAGATGGGCTTTCCGTGGGCAGTGCTGCCAGCACTGAGGAACACTGGGCTTGTCAAATAACCCCTTTGAAAAGAGTTGCAGGTGACAGGGTGTTCGGTATCAGATGCAATTCTGTTCCAGATATTTCAGCCTGGAGAAGAGAAGGCTCCAGGAAGACCTTACAGCCCCTTCCAGTGCCTAAAGGAGCTCCAAGAGGGTGGGAGAGGGACTTTGGACAGGGGCCTGGAGTTGCCAGGACAAGGGGGAACGGTTTCCCACTGACAGGGAGATAGATAGGATATTGGGAAGGAATTCTTCCCTGTGAGAGTGATGAGGCATTGGCACAGGTTGACCAGAGAAGCTGTGGGTGACATGTCCATGGATAATTTTTTTAAAGTGAATTTATGTAAAAGAGAAGGATAGAGCTTAGGATAGAGCTCTTAATTCTACAGACTTGGCAGGCAGGTTTTGGTGACATAGTGCTTAGGCTTCCTGCCCTTATTCAAATATGTAAACTTTTAGCAAGAGTATTCTCAGATCAGCAGATTTTTGATAGATATTTGACTTTTCCTCCAAAATATCATAGATGGAACTTGAGATTTTTAGCATGGCTATAAGCAAATGCTCCTATAAAAATATAATTGCTTTCCTCTAATGGCAGCCTTGGACAGAGGTTAAAATCCCACTCATGTGCATTTGGTGCATTTTGTGGAGGGAAAACATCCTTACTGGATTTTTCTGACTCAATCAATCATGTACGAAAGCAAGTCTATTGTTCAATTTTCTCAAATCTTGATTTCCCTTTGCTTCTGAAACAGGGGCTTCAGGTGTCATCCAAACAAAAGGTGTCCCCTTGGGATTTATTTGAAGGTCACAAAAACCCTGCCCCTCTCTCCTGGGCATGGTTTGGGACTGTTCATGTGGACAGGAAGGTGATCAAATACGAGGAGCAGCAGCACCTGCTGCTGTACCACACACACCCCAAACCCAAACCACGCAGCTACTACCTCGAGCCCTTGCCCCTTCCTCCAGAGGAGGAGGAGGAAGAGCCCACCACACCTGCATCTCAGGAACCAGAAAGAAAGCTGGGAGAGCTCTTGGACCAGGGAAAACACGCCACGGATGACGAGAAGAGGGCAAAGGGCAGGAAGCGGAAGTCAAAGTTGAGCTCCAGGGCTGAGGTGAGTGGTTGGTGCCACACAGAACCTGAAACGCCTCCCCAGAGCAGCTGGTGTGGTGTGGTTCTGCCTTTGGAAATGGTTCTGCACCCGGAGGAGTCAGTCCCAGTGAAGGGAGGGAATGGAGATGGCCAGGAGGAGATCAAACTTGTTGGTTTAAACCCAGGTCCTGCTCAAATGGAAACCAATTTGGAAAAGGCTCTTTCACACAGATAAACTGTTCTACTGTGCAGTTTGGTCTGGTTTCTGAGATACTTTCCTTTTTATTGTACTGGGGTTTGAGTAGTGAGTTCCTAAGCTGAAGAACCACTTAGAACAAGGGTTTGAAAACATGTCTGGCACCACCTGAATGATAATAATTAATAATAACAATAATAATAATAATGATGATGATGATGATGATGTATGTTTCCAGCAGCAGAGTTCTGTGTGGTTGCAGCCTCTCCACACTGCTGCCAGTGTGGCCATCCCTGGTGTGGATGTGCTGGTATTCCCTCAGCATCCAGCTGGTTTGTCCAAGTGTTGTGGTTTGAGTAGCTGTAATTTCAAGATAATTTTCTGGCCTTTTTGATGTTTCAGTGAAGTTCTTGCTGTTACTTATATCCTGGTACAGTGAGCTGTCCTTGTGCTCCACCTGACCATAGCCTGCAGAAGGTACCTGCTAATCAGCACCCCTGGCTGGGGTGTGCCTGGAGCTGTCCGTGGGAATCACCAGACTTCATCTTGTTTTGACATCACTGCCCATGACAAAGGAACTGTCTCTGTCCTTCAATAATTCAGTAGGAAAATCAGCATTATTTATGAGTTAGTAAGGGGTGAGTGTCAGTAACATTGCCCTTTGTGTGTGTTTTAAGGACTGTCCCCAGCCCAGCCTGTACAGAGTGCCTCCCTCCTGCTCCCTGCCGCCGATGGCTCACGCAGCCCCCCCGGCCCTGTGGGGGTACAGCCTGGGGGGGCCCCCCCTGCAGCCCGGCTCCTTCCTGCAGGGCCAGCCCCTGGCTCCAGGTATGGGCGGCTCCGAGGGCACAGCCCTGCGGGTGGCCTGGGACAAACCCCGCTTGGGGCACGTTCTGCTTCTCCCTCTCTCCGGTTCTCCCTCTCTCTGGTTCTCCCTCTCTCCGGTTCTCCCTCTCTCTGGTTCTCCCTCTCTCCGGTTCTCCCTCTCTCCGGTTCTCCCTCTCTCTGGTTCTCCCTCTCTCCGGTTCTCCCGCTGTCTGGTTCTCCCTCTGTCTGGTTCTCCCTCTCTCTGGTTCTCCCTCTCTCTGGTTCTCCCTCTCTCTGGTTCTCCCTCTGTCTGGTTCTCCCTCTCTCCGGTTCTCCCTCTCTCCGGTTCTCCCGCTGTCTGGTTCTCCCTCTGTCTGGTTCTCCCTCTCTCCGGTTCTCCCTCTCTCCGGTTCTCCCTCTCTCTGGCACGGGCTGTGCCGCCGGTGCCGTTTGGGTGATTCCTTCAGCAACTGAGGTTCTCGAAGGGCTTTGCTGCCCTCAGTTGTAGCTCTGTCTCTGTGAAGGTGTTGAACTTCCCGGGCACATGAGCCACAAGGAGTTCCTGTGGGGGCAGTGTAAGAGAGCTGGTGGGGTGACACAAGAGAGGGACGGCTGAAAGGACAAAAGTCCTGTGGGTTATTTTCTTTTTTGATTAATACCAAGAGCCGTGGTGGCTAATTTACCATCTGCTAGATATGGGCTCACATTTTTTTCCAGCATTTCTGATATGTGCTTAATTTTGCATAGGATTGTCTTGTTTCTTCCAGTTAGAGTTACAGTTTTATAAGGATTTACTGGCTCCAGAGGGCAGCAGTTTGTTATGATTTGAGAAACACTATCAAGACTTCTCCAAAATTATGCAGGAGAAGTTAACAATTTTTTTTTCCAGTTATAAATGTTAAATATTTTTTTTCTGAAGCTCCAAATACAACTACTCTGTATTTTAACTGTTTAAAAGTCTTCAGAATATACCAGAAAGTGGCTAAAAAGTTTAAGGAAATGCTGCTTTTGAGAACAAATGTGTAAGATCACCTTTGTAAGTCTGATGGAAAGATACATGATTTTTATCAAATAGCAGAGAGTGCATAAATTGCTACCATCTCATTATAAAATTAGCTTGACATATTAAGCTGTTCATATCATGCTTTGGATCTGACATGCAACTTTTGTTCAGTGGTAATAGTGAGATGTTTTGTGTGGCATAGAACATACAGCAGCCCATAGGCTTTGTACTTTTCATTCTCATTTGCAAGTGACAGTCTTCAATTACTTTTCCCATTAAATTTTCAGGCCAGAAATGTGGTTTGGTCCAGACTTTGCCTTTGCAGAGATGTGTTTATCATGGCTGTGTAGAGCTGCTGGATTAGCAGTGCTCTGTACCAGCGATGCTCTTAGGGAAGGCAGAGGATACAGTCGTGTTTTGGGTGGTTTTCAGGTGGTTCCGGGGTGGACTCAACAGGCTCCTTTATACCAGTGAACACGAAGCAAGCTCTGTCCAACATGCTGCAGTGGCGCTCGGGCTCCGGGATGCAGCCGCCCTCGGTCCCTGGGATCCCACCCCAGCAGCAGCTGCTCCAGAGGAAACTCCTGCAGGGAGAGCAGCAGCAGCAGCAGCTCCTGTGGCAGCAGGTGCAGGCACGGGCTCTCCAGCAGGTTTGTCCAAGCCCTCGGTCTGAGGAGCAGCACACTGGGTTTGCCCCTGTTGGGCTGTGTGCCCTGCCTGGCTTACAGGGGGGAGCCAGCTCACGGTTACAGCAGTTCCCCAAATATTAGTCTAGCAGGGCCAACTGCTTTAAATGTCATTTGATGTCTTAGTCCCTTTATTTTTCCTGTGTTCCATAAACTCAGGGTTTGCTCCTGCCCCTTGATGCTGCCCTTGTTCCCTGTTGTGTCACCGAGGCTCTCAGAGGATCACAGGCACCAGGTGCCACCAAGCTGCCAGTGAGTGCACAGTGAGTGCCCAGGGAGCCCAGCAGAGCTGTGCCTGTCCCTGTGTGCACACAGGTGCCTGTGTTGCCCAGGAATATCTGTATTGCTGCAGGGTACAGGGGCTGGGTGCCAGACCACACACAGCTCTTGTGCAGTGCCCCTGGGAGCCTGAGCTGGTTCTCACTGTGGTTACAGACAGGCTGATTTGAGACTGATGGTGTAAGCACAGGCAGTTGGGGTTTGGATCCTAAAGAACCAGCACTGTGTGTGCAGTAGCTGGTGGTAAATCCAATAACTTTGTCTTTACTCCCAAGCCTTTCTGTATCCTTTCTTACCCCACTGCAGTATATAGTACCTTGCCCTTTTGCTGTCTTGCCTCCAAACTCTGTGCCGTGCCCTCTTTGCTCAAAATAGTTCATAATTTCAGCAATATCCTTGTCATTCTGCCAGCTGTCTCTGTTTTGTTACAGCTTCTCATTATCCTTCTCATCTCTCTCTGATTTCCTGCTGTGATCCATGCAAAGGCCTCTGAAGTGCTTAAATTGCAGCTGAGTGACAATAGTTTTATTGGAAAAATTACTGCCAGCTTGAAATCCCTGGCAGCGGTGGGGACAGTTCTGTAGAATCCATCTAGAGGGACTCTGCTCTTTAGACCTGTACTCTTGGAAACGAATAGTTGTGGTGCGAGGTCTTCGACAATATGACTTGTTAAAAATCGTTGAGTATTCTGTATAGAATGAGTGGTGTCTGTGCAGGGTGAGGGGTCCTCTCCACATTTAGAGTTCTTGCACTGAGCAGCGGTGCTGTCCTGAAGGAAATGGTCGTCACTCCATGATTCTTTAGGGCACAACTTGGTGGGGTTTGTGTCCAGAGCCAGACTTGTTCAAGGGGTTGTATCTGGTGGTTGTGTCTTGCAGGGGCAGCCGATGGACCAAGCTGCAGTTTTCGCTCCGCAGGCTCGACCCCCGTCCCAGCTCCCGCAGTACCCGGGGCTGCAACAGGCACAGGTACTGCCTCATCCCGGGAGCCCCTGCATGGGAATGCTGATAAACAGGGCACCCTTCCCCAGCCTGCTCCCTGTGCCTGGGGTGTGCCTCTGCCTGTGGCTGGGGGCACCAGCGAGGCCTCCTCCTGGGATGCTCATGGCCTCCACGTCTGGTAGCTCATGAACGTTTTTGGCGTGACCACTTCCCAGTTTTTCCTGATGTTGTTGCTGGGAATAAGCATATTTCAGTGTTAAGCTGGAAATCTGGCCAGTTTTTGGTGAGATGATAGCAGTAACTCTATTATGTCATGGTTATTCTGGTACTTGGGATTTTGGGGGGATATGAGGAAAATAGAGATGGAGTTTTGGAGCAGAGCCCTGTTCCTGCTCAGCACCTCTTGGGAAGGCAGCACAGTGGGGGTTCCAACCTGCACATATGGCCGTGTGTGACAGTGAGTGACCACGTGTGGCCGCGTGTCAGCTGCCTGAACCCGCAGACAGAGGGGGGTCCCACCAGCGTGGGGGACAGGTGGGTCGGTGTGTGGGGACAGCACTGCAGCTCTCGCTGAGTTGCCTCTGGATCTCCGGGCTCCGGCTCCTCGGCGAGGCCGCCTCTCCTGCAGCTGGGCCGTTCCCCCCGGCCCGGTGCAGTCACTCGTGTCGTTCTCTGCAGAGCCTTCCCCACGGATACACCCTGTTCGGCAGCGCGGTGCCGGCGCAGCAGCAGCAGCAGCAGCAGCCCGCTGTGGGGCTGTCCCCCGCTGTGGGGCTGTCCCCCGCTGTGGGGCTGTCCCCCGGCTGCCCCGCGCCGATGGAGCTGCGGCAGGACCAGCACCCCGCGTACCTCCCGCAGCAGCCGCGCACCCACGGCCCCGCTGGAGCCCCGCGGTGAGCGGGAACCCGGGAACAGGGTGGGGAGAGCCGGGGTTAGAGTAAAGTCTGTTAATAACAGAATCATAGAATGGGTTGGGTTGGAAGGGACCTTAAAGACCATCCAGTTCCAATCCCTGCAGTGGCAGGGATGCCTTCCACTACACCAGGTTCCTCAGGTTGCTCATTGACCAAAATGAGGTTAACACCACATCTAATTAGCAATACAGATGCCTTTCTCTCCAATTTCCCTGTGATTTTCCCTCATTTAACTTTGATTTCAAGTTGATCTTGGCACATCTTTTAGTCCAGCTGTCCTGTGTGGTTGTAGAATATAGAAATTCATTTAAAAACGGCTGTTGGATGCTATTTCCCTACACACACAGATCTGGAATCCATATTATGCAAACACGTATATGGTATTAAAAAATCAATATTCTAGGTTTGCCAAAGAGTCTGTAGTCAAGAAAGCACAAGACCAACCTGGTAATTCAACTAGAAAGAGGCAAATGAATTTTGCTAAGCCTGAGTAGATGGGATTGCCTTCAGTTGAGAAGCACAGCTGAGTGGCAGTGCCTATGAGAAACAGGAAAAATTCATTGGTAAAGAAATGTGACCAAACAGAAGGCAAGTGAAGCAGGAAAGAAATCTGTCAAAGGGAGTGTCATGGAGCTGGCAGAGTGGAGAACTGGAGTTTCCAATGACAGCCTTGATTCAGATTTCTTTTCTAACAGCCTGGTGCAGTCCAACTAACAGTCCAGCTATGTTGTCATAAGCAGAATATGGATTTGTCCTGTATGGAGCTGTGCAATTCTCCCTCAACCCCTGGTTTAGTTTAATGAAATCAATGTTTCAGGAGCTGTGAACCTTATTGTATATTCTGCAATAATCACTGATTCCTTAACTTCTTCTAAATTCTTGCAAGTTTAAGAGTATTCCCAGCTTTGAGCATGCTTGCATGTCTTCAAAAAGTTTGGCCTTGGCTCAGTTGACAGCCTTGTGTGCAAACCTCCAGGGTGCCTTGTGTTAGGAATGAAGCTGCTGGCCTGGATTGCCTTGTCTGTGCTGAGCTAACCAGCTAAGCTAAATTGATCACATAGTTAACATCTTTCAGTATTCTAGAAAAGGACTATTAATTTCAGGGTTTTCCAGTATTTTAGAAAGTAAAAAGTGCACTTGTGATAGCTCATTTTCAATTATGGTGATGGAACACTGAGATGTTTTGGGCTGGAAAATATTTTAGTCTTTATGTGGAATTGCTTGGGATGTAGAAACTCATCACTGTTCCTAGACAAGCAAGAGCTGAATGCTTGGGTCTGTTCCTGTTCAGGGGAAGGTGTTATTGCCTCTGTCAGTTACTGGGCAATAGTATGGCACGGTTTATTGTGCAATGTATAATGGAACGGCTTTGAAATCCATGGAAGTCTGATGTCGCAGCTACAGTCGAGTTCTCCCAGACCATTGTGCTCTGTAAATGAAGTTTAATCTGTCATTTTTTCCCCACCAGACTGAACCATCAGCCTTTGCAAACGGGTTCCCTGGTTGGAGGGGGACTGGACGGTGCCTCGGCCGTGGGGCCACACCCTGGGCTGGGCACGGGGCAGCCGCTGGAGCCGGGCAGGCAGAGGCAGCAGCGGCTCTTCCAGGTGAGGGCTGGGCTGTGCTGAGGCTGGGGCTGTGACAGAGCAGGGGCTGTGACAGAGCAGGGGCTGTGACAGAGCAGGGGCTGTGACAGAGTAGAGGGTGTGAGCATCACTGTGTCAGTCAGAGCGTTACACACTCACTCGCACAGGTCTTCGAGTCTGAAACTCCAGAGCCTGGTGCTACAAACCCCACCTGCCTTTCCCTGAGTGCAGTCATTCATTGTTTACTTTTGGGACTTCCCGAAGGGAGCTCTGGACATACGTGTAAACCTCTGTACTTGGATTTTCTGGATTAGGGAATACCCCTGGAGAAGGTAGCTTTGAGAATGGCCTGGCTGGATGTGCTGGGCAGAGGTGGTGGTTGTGCACTCCCTGTCTGGCCTTACAATGTCACTGGTGTTAAACCAAAGGGCCTCTCGCAGGTCTGGCCCATCTCCTCTGTTCTGGTTTGGTGATATTTTTTAATTTGGAGGCGAGTCCCCGAGGCAGTGTGGGCCATGTCCCCGTTGTTCAGTGCCCACCTTCTCTCAGGTGCAGCAGCAGCAGCAGCTGGCTATTGGACTCCAGCCCCTGCAGGCACAGCAGCCGCTGGTGAGCAGAGTGTTCGGGGTGTTTGGGGGGGTGTGGGGAGGGACAGGGTGGGCTCTGTCACTTGTGCACGAGGAAGCCTTCCCTTGGCCACGTGAGGTGCTGATGGTTGGCACTGCCCCTCGTGCTCGTGCCGTGTTTGTGGAGCAGCCCCGTGCCCTGGCAGCTCCACCACGGCTGAGCTCCGGCCCCTGCCATGTCCCATCACAGGTGCCTGTTCCCACCTTGGATTTTTGGGATGTACTGCTAACAGGCTAGGGGAAAAATGGGGTTTATTTTTTGAAGATACTTTTAAATTATATAGTTAGTCATAAACCAGAGCTGCATGAAGACAGCTGAACAAACTGAATTACTTTTGAGACACAACTTTCTGCTTGATTGGAGCCCTTGATAGTTTAGGGAATGATTTGACCCAATCACCATCACTACCAAGTAATTTTTCTGGACACATCCACTGAATTTACAATCTCATTATGCTTGTTCCCTTTATTTCCACAGTTTTTCCAAACATATTTAAGGTAGGTGAGGATAACTAGAAAAGTAGAAAAAATACAGTAATGGTGAAATTGCAGCCTCCAAGTTTAAAAGCATTAATCTTAGATAATTTTCATCCATTTTTGAGTTTTTCTTAGTAGGTTTTATATCTTGAACAAACTGCTGGGAGAGTGTCACAGCAATGGGCACCTGCTCAGCACAGGCTCCTCTGCCAACATCTGCACAGCAGAAGGTGCTGTGGGTTGGGTTTGTGTTCCCAAAAACCTCAGTGTGGTGGCTAATACCTTTGACTAACCTAGCACTTACTATGGCCTGGTAGCCAGGAGATTACACAACATATTTTAAGTGAAGGATTTGGTTTCAGAAAAGGAAAAGATGCTGAAGTCTTGTAAAATGCTGAAACTGCCTTCAGTAAGCACAAGGTTTTGCTGAGCAAAGCTCGGGCGGTTTCTGCAGCGCCCACAGAGTTATTAAGGTATGGGATTACTCAAATTTTATTCAGCACCTCAGGTTTCCAAACTGCATCATGTATCCCTGTGCAGAAGAATCACTTAATTAAAATTAGAAGCGTGTGCATTTGCACTAGACCTAATGAGAAAAACAAAAATTGGGATTTCAGAGGCAGACCTGTTGAGCTGAGAGACCTGAGGGTGAGTCAGAGATGGGTGATAGAGGCTGGGTTTGGGGTGCTCATCACATTGTGCCTAATGCCATGGCCACGGCCAGTGAGGGCTCCCCAAAACCTTCTCTTCCCCAGGCTGAACAGTGTGAGATTTCAGGGCAGGCAGAGAACAGATGTTCTGTGAGCTCTGAGGTGCTCCCCGTGTCCTTGCTGTGCTGTTAAACCCCAGCCAGCACACCCACCTGACCAGCCCAGCACCCTGTGGTTCCTGCCGTGGCAGGGGCACCGTGTGGGTCCCTTCACCTTGGCTGTTCCCGTTGCAGTTCCCGAGGCCGGGCCTGCAGCAGACCCCGCAGCAGCAGCAGACGGCGGCGCTGGTCCGGCAGCTGCAGAAGCAGCTCTGCAGTAAGTGTGTGCACAGACTGTGGAAATGTGTGTTTGAACACAAAATTGTCTTTCTGGAGATCTCCTGCCTATTTACCTGCTGCCAGATGTACACGGAGGTCGTTCACCCGCTGGCAGTGGGTACCTGTGCCCGTCCTGGCGTGACACCAAAGCCCTGGGTTTGGGGCAGCCCATGGGGTGGTCCTGTCACCCCCAGCACAGGACTGGGGCTGGGCCCCTCACCCTCCGCAGGAAAGGTCCCTGGGGCAGTGAGTGCCTCTGGCCTCAGGGGAGGAGGGGTGTGCAGCCTGTTTTTTGCCACCGCTGCAGCAAATACAGGTGTTTTTCCGTATTTTGGTACAGTCACCCCCTTTGCTTCCTCCACCAGGTAACCAGCCACAGCAAGGTTACCCCACTTCTGACCGTGGTTGGGGGGGACCCAGGGGACCTTTGCACTGAGGAACAGGACTCTGGAAATTCAATGTGCTGCTTGTGGTTAGACAGCAGACTTGAGCTCTCTTCTTATCTCCATTATTATTTTTTGTGCTGCAGCTGATGTGAATATGTAACAAGGTGGGTTTGGGGTTATTTTTGCATTTAACTAGATTTCAATGTATGGACTTGTGGGCCTATTTGAAGAATGTTATCGCAGATTTTATGAATTTGGTGCTTTTTAGGTCCTGTTACTTTTAAAGAGGACAAAGAATGCTGGATTTATTTATTTATTTGTGGGGAAAACCTTTTTTTCTTGCAAAAAAAAAAAAAAAAAAAGAACTGCACTGGACCAAACTACTGAACTGAAAGGCACTTCAGATTTTGGCATAGAAGTTAATTTGTTCATTAAAATGTTCACCTCTTTCTTTTTTGGTAGAACAAGCATCAGTTCAAATCGTGTTTATTTGACTGTGATTTTCACATGCACTTTATAAAGTTCTTTGTTTAAAGTACCAATTCCTCTTGCTCTTATTGTGGTAAGAAGGTGCTGAAGTGGGTTTATTGCTTGTATTAGAACTTCTTAAAGTTTATATTAAAAGCCACAATGTCACATTAATAAACCTTCTGGAAGTTACTGTTCTCATCTGGGGTCTGTCATCCGAAGCTCTCAGGGGACGGTCCCAGGGGTGACGGGGACTGAGTGCTCCAGGGGGGCTTTGCTCCATTCCTGTGAGTCCTGGTGGGGCCTGGTGGGAGGTGACCCCCCGTGTCTCCCCCATGCCAGCAGGGACTGGTCCCATCCCAGCCCTCCCAGTGTGAGTGTGGCAGAGCCCCCGAGTCCTTCCTGCAGGTTCAGCTGCCCTGGAGCCAACAGCCTTTGGATGATCCTCCTTTCCCTGGAGGAGTTGTTCTGTCACCTGTGTCAGTACCAGCGGGGCACGGCAGGAATTCCCAACCCCAGGTGGGAATCGATGGCTGGCACGAGGCATTGCATCATCGGTGAGTACAAATGCACAGGCAAATTATCAACCAAAATCACCACAAACAAATCATTGTTATTCAAACCTGTGCAAACAGATCATAACTTTGCCCATACTGGAGGTGAAAGACCAGAATAAATTTATTATTACTTTATGTCATTTAGGAACTATTCTATATGATTGGGTTTTTTTAATGCATTCGTTTTGAAAGTGGAACTTGAAGGGCATTTAAAATACTCTGGGAATATTTTTTCCCTATTTTTCACTAACTCAGTTTGCTTAACTGACCATACAAGGAGGCTATGGATGGTGTCATAGCCAGGTGTTGTGTGGGGAGGGGGAAGGCTGCACCTCACACGCTTCAGAGGGCCTGGGCCAGCACAGCCAGCTAATGATGCATAGTATATCTATATCTATATCTTGTATACATCATATATATGTAATATAAGAATAACTCACTACACGGAAATCTGTAGGTTTTGATTGGCTTTTACAACAGTTGAGTCTCATTCATGTAGAAGTTACTTCTGTCCATTTTTTTAAAGGATATTTACTGCTCTTTTTAGTAGCTTAAGCTATTACAGAGATTAACTGTTGAGATTCACGTCATCCAACCCCTCTGTGGCCACCAATCCATCAGTGCTGTGGAAGGAGGGAACAAGGGAATACTGACTCTGTGTGGCTGATGTCAGGGATGGATTCACTGAACCCTTTGTGCCCTGACCACACATAGATTCCCAAATTTAAGAGGGGAATCTGTGTGTGTATTTTGAGCCCTCTGTCCTGCATTAATGTATTTCTTAGGAAGAAAATAAGAAACTCTGAGCCTTAGTTACAGGCTTAAATATTTTAAAAATTGATTTGAGCAGTCCACTCTGTGATTGGTCAGTGTGAAATGGGCAGGTAACCATTTCCTACCATCACAAAGGGATTTTCCCATCAGGTACAGAAGTTCCTTTTTAGGCCTATGTGGCTGCTGAACTGAGGAATCACAATTCTAAACTGAGTCACAAATTCAAGCAATTGTTTTCTAGTGAGAAACTTTAAAAAAACGCTTTTGTGGCAATAAGAAAATGATGACGAGCTGCAGTGGTTCTACACCTAGTCTGTGTGCAATGGCTTAGCAGTGCTGAGCAGAGCTCCCTCTCTTGTTCCACACTGAGTGCAAAGCTGGCCTGTGTCATACCACAGCTCTGCAGAAAAGACTGTGGCAAGCAGAGCTATCCTGTTAAAAATACTTCACTATTTGTTTCACCATGAAATATTTATTTAAAAAATATACTAAATATTAAAACACATTAAGAAGGTAATCTGCATCCCAATAAACCTGCTCTTTAGTTCCCAGATGTTCTTGCTCTCTATGATCTGTGCTTATGACAATTATACCGGGTGGGCAGTACTGAAAAAGTCTGTCCATACAGGAGCTCTCTGTGTACATTTCCAGAAAGTAAATTGTGTTTGATAGTCTATGTTTGCTGGCAGAGTTTGCTTTAATTTAAATCCCTTGAACATGGAGAGAAGCAATGCTAGCTAACAATGCTAGAGCTAATTTTCCCCTTCCTCTCTCCTTTTGCCCAGTCACTGCAGACTGAACACTGTAAATGTTTTCCAGGCACTCGGTGCCTCTGGATGCCTTTGATTAAACTCATTCCAAGGATGACCTCAGTCCAGCTGCAGCCCGTGTTCACCATCATTCCTGCTGCACGTCTGACTTCAGATGACGTGGACGTATGTTACTGCGAAGTCACTGCCAAGGGGGTTCCTGGCCGTGCACTTGTACATGCCGGAATTGGAGGGTCGGGGATTCTGGAGGAACAAAGTCCCCGTGGGGTGCAGCAGCTCACCCCCAGCCCCTCGGCCCTGGTGAGCTGTGGAGAGCGTGGAGCGGTCAGGTAACTCCCAGGTGATGTCCGGTTTGGGTATCCCCAGGGCGGTGCAGTGGAGCTGCAGGGCCGCCCCCGGCACGGTGTGCAGGGCGGGCGGGGGCCTGCCCGTGATGCGCGGGGCGTGGGCGGCCACGGCCACGGCCACGCTCACGGAGGAGTCGCCGGCGTCGTTGCGGGCCCTGCACACGTAAGTGCCCCCGTCGTGGGCGCCGGCCGCCCGGATGACCAGGGTGCCGTTCTCCAGCAGCAGGAACCTCCCGCTGACCTGCGGCCGGTCCAGCACGCGGCCCCCCGGCAGCGTCCACATGGTGCTGGGCCTGGGGCTCCCCTCGGCCAGGCAGTGAAGGGACAGCGGCTCCCCGCTGACGCCCTTCACCAGCCCCACCGGGTGGGTGAGGATATTGGGCTTCTGGGCAACCTCCAGGACGATCAGCTTTTCAATATAGCCAACCTGGTTCCGGGCAGCACAGCGGTACCGCCCGGCTTGGTCTCTCCTGGGACTGTAGATGGTCAGGGTCCCATTGCTTCCTGTGAGAAACTGGGACGTGCTGATGCTGCTGGAAAACCATGTGCCATTGGGCAGCATCCAGCTTATGTCTGGGGGAGGGTTTCCATCCACAGAACAGTTCAGTGTGATAGTTTTCCCAGGTTTTGCTATTATTTTTTCGTTGAATGGGTTTTTGAACACTGGTCGCCGTAGCATTTCTGTGACCTCCAGCTGCACCACCAGCACACTCTCTCCCGCGTCGTTACGTGCCACACAGATAAAATCCCCCGTGTCCGAAGGCCTGATATTCCGAATCTCAAGTGTCCCATTTTTGTGCACCACGATCCTGCTCCCATAATACGGGGCTGTTAGGAAAATGTTGTCAGGCATGACCCACATAATCTGAGGGGCAGGTGTCCCCTCTGCCCGGCAGTCAATGTGTTTCTTTGAGTGCCTCACTGCTGTTACCTTCATGATTGTTTTGTTCCTGTATAAGCCGTTTATGATGGGGGGTTTACCAGCCACATCCAGCTTATACAGTTTGGTGTCATCCCCACCAGGGTTCCGAGCCACACACATGTACTCCCCAGCATCCAGCAGTTTGACGTGGCTGATGGAGAGAGAGCCGTTGGTGTGCAGGGAGTGTCTGCCTGTGGATGAGGAGATCATCTCACTGGAAGGCAGCAACCAGAATATCTGTGGCCTGGGATCTCCAGCAGCTTCACAGTCCAGCAGTGCTGTGTGTCCAGCTGACACTGTAACATATGTCTTGTAATTGTGCTTTATCTGAGGGGCTGCCACGATGACTGTGACACGGATCTTCATCTCATCCCTCCCCAGAGTGTTTTGGGCATAGCAGGTGTAATCTCCTCCTTCTGTCACCCCAGCTTTGTTGAGGTACAGAGTCCCATTGTCAAAGAGGACGTACCTGCGGGACCTGTGCCCGCTGTCATCCGCCAGCATCGCATTGTTGACCAACGTTCCATCTGGCAGACCCCAAGATATTTCTGGCGTGGGCGACCCTGAGGCCTTGCAGTCCACTCTGAAATCCTTGCCGTATGGCACCAGTTTCTTGAAGTGCTGCTTGTGGTCAATCTTGGCAGGTTTCATTGTGATGCTGACTTTCATCAGGATCAGATCATCCCCAAGTCTGTTTCTTGCGACACACAGATAATCACCTGCATCCTTTTCAGTGACTGCTTCAATAGCCAGGGATCCGTTGGGGTAGACATGGATCCGACTTCCCATTCTGTTGTGGGGGGAGAGAGAGGAAAAGAATTATGGAACCAAGTGCTGGGGGTGAATACTGAGCACTGGAAGGGATTGAAGGTGTCAACAGCACAATAGGACACAGAGGTTCTCTCCAAAGGCACTGTGCCCACACCACCTGCCTGCCCACTGGGTCCTAACGTGATGTCATTGTCACTTCTGGTGTTACATGGATTTTTGCATGTTAACTCTGCTGGGAACACCCTGAGCTGGGACTGTCTCCCAAAGCAAAGGTGAAGTGTTACTGTGGGAGGGGGTGGGGGGAGACCCCCAAAGGTAGACTTATCAGAGGCTACAGAAGCCTCTTCCTCCTGAGCCCTACTTTGCAAATCTGGTACATAAAACTTCTCCTCTAAACTGGCAACAGTCAGCCAGGGCATGATAACAGCAGTTCCCTTAATTCAAATATGACTTATATTTGATTTGGGGAGACCTCACCCACTTATGGCAATTGATACGATCTGTTACTAGACATATAACAACAAGCCATTAGCACAGATATTTTCACCGCTGCTGGATGTTTGAAAATTAATTTAGTTCACAGTGCTTTAGTGCTGCAACACACTCTTACATGACCACCAGAGGAGACAGTATTTGAAGTTCCAAAGAGGTGGGAAAAAAAAGACTCGTACCTGTGCCACTGGTCCACCACAGCCTTGGAGGGCAACCTCCACATGATCCTGGGCTTGGGCTCCCCGGTTGCTGTGCAGTTCAGAAGCAACTTATCTCCATAATTCAAGTGAGTCAGTTCTTGAGAGGTGATGGCTATCTTTGGAAGCGTGTCCCTGTGCTCCACCACGAGGCTGACCACCCTCCTGTCCGAGCCGCTGGAGCTCGTGGCTATGCACTCGTAGTTCCCGCCGTCGGAAGGGCCGATGCTGCCGAGGTGGAGGGTGCCATTGGAGAACAGGAACAGCCTCGTGTGTACCAACTGCAGAGGCTTCACTGCTGTGCCATCAGGGAGGACCCAGTGGACAGTGGGCTGAGGGTTCCCTTGCACTGTGCAAGGGAATTTCAGGCTTTCCCCCATCTTTCCTTCCATGCTTTGTCTCTTCTCCTCCAGAATGGTGGGAGGGGCCACAACGACCTGCAGCCTCAGAGCCAGCGTGTCGGTGCCCGCGGGGTTTTTGGCCAGGCAG